TAAAATTTATTTTTATTGATTTCAGAGAGGAAGGGAGAGGGAGAGAGAGAGAAACATCAATGATAAGAGAGAATCATTGATCAACTGCCTCCTGCACACCCCACACTGGGGATCAAGCCCGCAACCCGGGCCTGTGCCCTGACCTGGAATCGAACCCTGACCTCCTGGTTCATAGGTCGACGCTCAATCATGTTCTTCAATCACATCGTACATTATATCTGCATGTGTCCTTCTGTTTCCCACACTTTGGTCCGAGCTTCTTAGGGAAGCCCTGGAGAGGGCACTAGGCCGCTGGCGTTGGGGTGGGGACCCAGAGGGAAGCGCAGCGCTGGCGCAGGCGGTGCCAGGCCATCCTCGTTCCCCCAGGCGGGCGGGCATCGCTCACCCCACACCAGCGCGGAGCCGCCTCCTCCGGGAGGTGCTGTTCTGTGCGCTCAGCAAGGCATTGGAAAATGCAAAGCGGTTTGACGTGAAGGAGAGTGACATGAGTGACACGGAACGAAAGCAACGGTTCTTTTAAATGTCACGCGATTCTCTGTTCAAAGTGGAGCACCCCAAAATAACTCCGAGCACGCTGGGACCCGCGTCCTCTCTTCCCTCCGCCGCCCCCAGTGCGCCCACACCCCCCTCCACCTTCCTGCCCTGTCGGCACAGGTGCCCCCCCTCTCCCCCCAGCTCCCCACGCTCAGGCAGGCTGCTGCGGGCAGAGGCAGGCTCGCTGCAAGGAGTTGTGCCTGCACGGTACTGAGGCTTTCTGAACCATGGAATCAGTTACCAATCTGAGGGCCCAGGCTGGTCCTTTAAAACAAAGAGGAGGCTCACCCCGCCCCCCGCTGTGTTTCCCTCTGATAAGAACAGAGGAATCGCCCGAGTCGGTGTGGCTCAATGGTTGGAGCATTACAGGAAGGGTTGTGAGTTCGATCCCTGGCTGTGGCGTGTACGTGAGGCAGCCGATCAATGTTTCTCACATCAATGTTTCTCTCTCCCTCTCCCTTCCTCGCTCTCTAGAATCAATGAAAGATATATCCTAGGGTGAGGACTAAAAAAAAAATAGAAGAATTGCCAAATGGAGAACTTGGTGGAATAAAAGGTTTCTGCTCAGAACAAGTGCCCGACAGGGAGACAGACTCTAGAGACTGTCGATTCGACTTGACTTTCCCACGAGGTCCGTTAGCAAGAAGCTACTTCCAACGCTGACGGTCACGTTTGGTAGCGATGCCAAGGGACAACCTTGAAACGGGCCTTCCCACAGGTGTGACCTGCAGGCCCACCACCTGCCTGGCCGAATCTCAGCGCGCCCGGGGGACCTGCGCC